CTCTCTCTCTCTCTCTCTCTCTCTCTCTCTCTCTCTCTCTCTCTCTCATTGTGAAAGCGTAGCAAGATGTTTTAGTAACAAGGTAGTCCAAAGGGGAGAGTGTATTGGAAAGGCGAATGGGATGGGAGTCTAAGAAGCGATATGTTAGTTATGACTGTATTACTCTATTAGCGACAACATCTGGAAGGAGTGGCTTCACTTCTCTGGTCTTCGACATACCTTTCCTAAAGGATCGCTCCAGGACTACATGCCCCAAGCCTCTGAGTGATCTTAGTAGGGCAGTAATCTGAGCAATATCCTTTGGATGATGTGGGTGGGTGCTCGGAATTTCATTATTAAAATTTAATATCTGAACATGCAGGAAGTGTGCGTTGCTCAGGACACATGGACCATGGTCTGTGGCGTTACCTTTGGATGGCGCGGCGGTAGGTTGGCCTGGTTGCTCATGGCTCAGTATCCTTGGGCTGGCACGTGCGCCCACTGCGGACTCCAGACTTGACAGCTTCTGCCGGCAGGAAGGAAGATGCACTCTACTGTTGGGCGCTTCTCTGCCTGCACCCCTGCCTCGCGATGTCCTCAGCCTGGGAAAGACGTCAGCGCTTTGCACCGGAGTTGGGTTCTTCGGCACATTCGAGCAGCTGCTCCGGGTATAGCGGTGGATGATAAAACTCATGCCTACTTGCAAAGGCAAGGTCCACACGGGCTCCAAAGCTCAGGGAGAGAGGTCAGTCCCGGGGCTGGAGCTGAGTATGTTCGGGCCATGGCGACAGGAACCACGGGGTCTTTAGTGTTCGGGTACCTAGAAGAGTTACACCCGTCACAAGAGTCCGTTGTTCCCTTAGTTAGTTACTGTTTTTACTTGTCTATCTGACAATTTTAAAGGGGGACGAAAGTTCCTGGTAGCGTGTCTTGGCTCCTCTGAGACTTTCTTTGGAGCTCTTATGCCCCGGGAAGCCTCTGGCAACCTTGCTCTGGGGCAGGGAGGATGGGTGATGAGACAGACCCTGGCGATCCCTGGCCACGGGCTTCTCGGGTCCCTATCCTGTCCAGAGAAAAGCCTGGAGACTACTAGGGGAGGCAGGGTATTAAACAGAGGAGAGGAAGGAGACCAGGTTACAGAGGCTTCGGTTCTCTTTTTTTCTTTTTCTTTTCTAAACTGCCAACACAATATCCGTGCCGAGGGAAATTCCCCCGACAAGCCCCAACGGTCTAGCCTCCAGGTAAAATGGGGAGGATACTGCGTTCCAGGGCCAGGGGCGCGCGGGGATCCTTGCTGCAATTTGGTCCTGGGACAACCCCAGGACCTGTACGAGATTTTCCAAACGGACAATAGATTCTGCTCGCTCAGAGGAGATCGAAGCAGAGACTGCCAACTAGGCTCCAAGGGCGCGCAGAGAGCCCAGGCGCGTACTCAGAGGAAGCGGTATCTCCGCGCTGGGCTGGCGCCAGCCCTGGAAACGAGTGGGTTCGGGTCCCAGGACCAGGAGAGAAGGGGGACTGATTCATTGGTGTTCCCTCTGTAGGCTCCCTATTCGCTAAGCTAAGCTCCATGCCCAGAGAAGAGGGACTGAAATTCACACCTCCTCCTACCTCCAACTCCTTCAGGCGCCCAAAGCTGCTGGAGGCTCTGGGCTATGTTAAGACCTTTTTTCTGCCGTCCTTTCATTCCCCAATCTGGGTATGAGGGCGCGGGAGAAAGGACTTCTTCACTCTGGATCGGAACTGGTAGAAAACTACAGTCTTCCGCCTTAACGCGAGACAAACCGCGGGCCCGCCCCCGGGGGAAGGTCTCCGCCGCTGAGGCTGCTTGAGAGCTCCGGTGCGCACCCCGGCATGTTCGGGTCCAGCAGCCCGCCAGGTGCGCTGCCGACGCCGCAGGCGGGAGGTAAGACCCCGTGTCTGGCTGCGCTTAAGGGTGGCCTGTCCCTGGCCTCTCTCCCCTGGTCCAGTGAGGGCCAGATACGAACTCTGGGAAGCCCCACACCTGATAAACGCCCTGGGGATTTTTTTCAACAGCCCCTCAAAATAAGGATATGAAAACACCCCATTCGGTTACTTTTTTCTCCAAGGTAACCATTAGGGTTGTTTCAACTTAGAAGCAGATTTGGGGGTGCCCCAGCCTTGCCCCTGCTTGTGAGATCCCCCAGGCCTCTGCTGTCCATCAGAGGTGTCCCTTGGCCCAGCAGCCCCGCGTGGGCACCTAACACGGCAGGCTCTAGGCCCAAATCTATTTCCTCTCCAGGATTATCTAATTCTCCGGGGCCAATATTTTTCCTCTTCTTCAGCGAAATAGCAGGGTCTATGGAAGTTTATAGCCAACGCCTCGCCTGCAGCCCCGGGAGTCTCAACCCAAGCCAGCCCAGCCTTGTAGCCCAGAGCAGCAAAGCCACAGCAGGCAAAGCGAGCTAACACGGGTCGCGCGGAGGTCGGGAGCCCTGGCTGCGGCGGCGGCGCCGGGGCAGTTATTCCCGGGTGACTCTGGGGACGCGCGCAGATGGGGGACGCCTCCGGCTACGCACTTGGGGCCAGCTGCAGCTCCCGGGAGCCCGGCGCTGATGGATCATCTCATTTCCCGACTTGATGGGCCGAAACCTGGGATGGCTGTACCGGCAGGGAGAGGGTGGGCTCAGGGACAGAGGGGTAGGCGGCCCTAGGTGCTGGATTTTGGTTAGGGAAGGACACATTTCTTAGAGAAGAAAACTAATTTCCCCTCATCGCGAGGTTATGATCCGTTTTTCCATTTTATGGTCTGAGCACAGGCGCCGCGCCCCTTGTCCCCATGGACCGCGCGCGGGCCCCGAGTGCAGTGGCAGTTCCCGGGGCCGCCTGGGGCGTCTGAGTCCGCCCGCACTGCGCCAGGTGGCATCTTTTCCCACCGGAGGCTGCGGAAGCAAAGGACTCGCCCTTTCAATTCCTGGAAAGAGCCCTGGGGGCATGTGGGCCGCAAAAACCTTCCTTCCATTCCGGGCCCACCTAAAGTCCGCATCTCCCCGTGGACTGGGAACTTGGGCTCTGGTCCGGTGCTCGCCCCGAGCCTCGGGGCACTGCGAAGCTAAGGGCCAACCCCGTGCCTCAGCAACCAGTTTGGAGCAAGGAGGCAGTATAGGTGTTGAAAGTCGGGGTAGTGGTGAGGGAGGGTTGTAGAAGGGTGGGTGGGAAATGCGCATCCAAATGCTTGAATTCCTTCTGTCTGACCCTCCAGCAAGATTAAGAAAGTCATGTATCCCCTGGGAGGGAGAGGCTGCACGTCGCTGTCCTGACACCGCGCCCCAGGGCTCAAGCGGGAGTCAGAGGGAATGAGAAGAGTGGGAAGTCCGAGGCTAAGTTTGGGTGAGAGGTGAGCAGATGAACTGGAGAAGGGTGGTGTTGCGGGGATTCCTGCCTCTGGGCAGTAACTAAGAGTTTTTTCCTTTCAGCTTCCCAGAATCTTTCTCCATCTCAAGAAGTGGAACTTGGACTCCGCTCCAAGGCCTTCCTCCTTGGTTGGGTCTTGGAGAGCACTGAACAGATCTCAAACCTGGGATCTTAAAGAATCCCAAATCTGGGTGCACCTCAGCAGAATACGCTTTCAGGGACCAGACTGTCAGGAAAACCGCAGCTCTCTAGCGGGCCAGGAAACACCACATGGTTCAGGGCATCTGACAAAGTGCTGCCCAAAACCTAAAGCTGGTTCTGAGACCAGTAACATCACTGTCCCCTGGAGACTGCAGGATTGCAGGCCTCACCTAGCCCTACTGCATAGGAACCTGCGTCTGAGACATATCGAAGGACTGTGCACAGTCCAGTTGGAGAAGCCTTTGCCTCATTTACAGAACCTGAGTTTAGCCATTGACAACCAGTTCAATCCTGTTCCTCCCAGGCTCCTCTTCATCATCTGTCACGTGGGAGCTATTCTGTAGGTCCTGGGGGGCTCCTATGCACTCCTGAATGCACTTCAGACCAATGGAATCAGAATCTCTAGTTTGGTGGAGCCTAGGCAGCAGTGTGTGTTTTAGGTGTCTCCAGGTGATTTTAATGCCAGCCAGGAATGACTAGGGTAGAAATATCCACTTTACAGATTAGTTAGATTAGCTAAGATAAGGCCTGGGTAAGACAATATGTGTAGTGTTAAGCCCACTGCTCTCTGTAGCCTGATTCATTCTGACTTCAGCAAGCATGGCCTTGAACAATACTTAATTAGCCAAGTATGGCTAATTAACTTTGCTGTGCCTCAGTTTCCTTACCCATAAAATGAAGTTGATAATAGTGCCCACCACAAAGGGTGTTTGTGAGGATTTAGAATCCAATGTTTAAAATCGAATTCAATAAATATTAGTTTATAAAGTCAAATCCCCCAATCTCTCATTTTAAATTAAATGGAAGAGGGCCTGATTGCTTATTTATCTCACCCTACTACCCAAACCCCTCTCCAAGGCAAGAAGTCCTCTTCCAGAGCACAACAGCTTGCTTTGCTTCACTATTCTTGTCTAGTTTTGAACACTTTTTAGCACAAAAACCAACATTTTAAATTGCTTTGCAATTCAGTAAACCTGATCCTCTTGCAAAGGTTAATTTTGCCAAGTCCAGTAATCCCATTCCAGGTCCATCAGTTTCAGAAGCACTAGTGTGAAGGATGTGCTCAGCTCTGATCCCACCCGGAGATGCTGATTCCATAGGTTTGAAGTGTGGTGGTGTATTTGTATATCTAACAAGTTCCTAAGTAATGCTGATGCTTCAAGTCAGAGGGGACCACACTTTGAGAACCAGAGTGGAAAATGAATGGTTGACTCAGAGCATCTCAGGAATCTCAATGGCAACACTGTCCCTTAGAAATGCAATGTGAAACACACACATAATTTAACATAATTTAAAATATTCTGGTAGGTACATTTTAAAAAGTAAAAAAAAGAAACAGGTAAAATTAATTTTAATAATATACTTTCATTAACCAAATATATCCAAAATATTTTTTTCAACATCTAATCAAGAACAAATACGCAGTGAGGGTTAACGGAAAAATCACAAGATCTGTACATTTAGAAAAGGAGACTTTATTTCATGAGTTTCCACCACGAGGAAACAAAGTTCCCAGTAACATAGAGAAAATCAGAACTAAGAGAGAGAAATCAGGGCCACAGGACTTTGATTACTTGACTCAGCTGCACTTAAAGCCAGCTAGGAATCAGCTCACCTTCCACATCTTTTAAAAGATGATGGAGGAGGCTGCTCACGCCTGTAATCCCAGCACTTTGGGAGGCCCAGGTGGGCGGATCAAGAGGTCAAGAGTTCAAGACCAGCCTGGCCAACATAGTGAAACCTAGTCTCTACTAAAAATACAAAAATATTAGCCAGGACTGGTGGCGGATGCCTGTAATCCCAGCTACTCAAGAGGCTAAGGCAGGAGAATTGCTTGAACCTGGGAGGCAGAGGTCGCAGTGAGCAGAAATCATGCCACTGCACTCCAGCCTGGATGACAGTGAGACACTCTATCTCAAAAAGAAAAAGAAGAAGAAAAAAAAAAGAGATGACAGAGGAAATCCATTTTATGGATTTGTAAGTGTCACAAGTCGGAACAGAGTAGCAATTTGCATTTGTTGGGCGTCTTGTCCTAGCATTCAGGTCCTTTGATGCATTATTATTTTAAAAATGACATTAGTAGCAAAATATGTAATCTTTAGGCCATGTTTTATATCCCATTTCTTAAGAATGTCCTATGTATGACCTGGAATCTAAAGTACCTTGGCAATTGGAGATCTGATAAAAGATCAAGATTGGAAACCATATGGTAGATGTAATTCTCACAGACAAATAGTCCAACCCAATTACTGCTAACAGACTGCTCATTACTTCCTTCCAAGAGAATGAAATTCGAAATAGAGCTTGACAGGAGTATAAATAAACACAGATAATATTCCTTCTTATGTGGCTACACCAATACATTTCATACACCTGTGACTGTACCTTTATAGCTTTATATTGTGGTTATTTTTCTGTGTTTCCTACTAGTTGAGAACTCCTTGAGGGCAAGGACCATATTTAATATATTTCTGTATCCCCAACACCTATCATAAGGCCTGCAACACCACAGATGCAAAATAGTATTTCCTGAATTTAGGCTTCTCTATCACATTGCTTTGTTATTTCCAGGAGTCACTAATGCCAGCACGTGCATGAAGTTGAAATACATTGTAATCATTATGTTCTAAAAGTATCCCTACATTACCAATGGTTGAGGTCTGTTACAGAAACATTTATGGGTATTTATCAGACACTGTTCTAAGCTCTGTTATAAACAGATCAACAAGACACACACCATTTTTCTCACCCTTGGACCTTTGTCCTTATTGTTCCTTCTATCTTGAATGCTCTTCCCACACCCTTACTCTCCTCTGTATCCCTAGGACTCCTCACTTGCCTTGCTCAGGTCTGTCTTCAAATGGGACCCTCTCAGGGAAGACTCTCCTGGACATTCTATTTCAAATGATACCCTCTCTCCCCCGCCACCCTTGGTCTAGGCTTTGTTTTTCTCCTTACAACATATTGCTTTCTTAACAGTCTGCATTTCATCAAATTTAAGGTTCCATATTATTGTAAACCACACCATTATTTTATGTACTATTACAAAAGCAAAACTTACTGCCAGTTAAACCATGGCATGCCATCGATCAGGACCCATTCAGAGTAAGAACTGATGAAATGCATTCATTTATATTATTCTTTGTCTGGTCCTTTTAATTAGAATAAAGATCTCAATCTTTTTTTAAAAAAAGTTCTTATTCTCCAGTGCCTTAAAACATAATAGGCATTTAAAATGTTAAATGTGGGAGGATAAAATCCATGTCTTCAAGAGTGAGATCAAGTAAACAGTTATGAAACAATATAATAAATGTTCAAATAGAAGATGGTAGGAATTTTTGTCTGCATGCAGAGAAGAGCGTGTTTCCCTCAGCCTGGCTGGGAAGGGCCTTTCAAGGGAGGTGATGACCAAGCTGGTCTAGAAGAGTGTGGGAGGCAGATTCACTGCAGGAGAGGATCTTCAAGCATCAAAGTCCAGTGATATAAAAGTATGAAAATGCAGGAAAACTGGAGGTTATTCTGTCTGACCAAAATGTGTGTTGTGTCTAAAGCAGTGATTCTCAACCTTGAACGAGTATGAGAATTGCCTGCAGGGTTTGTTAAAACACATTGTTGGGCTCCTTCCCCAGCGATTCTGATTCCATAGGACTGGAGTGCAGCAAGAGAACTTGCATTTCTAATAGGTTCCAAGGTGACTCTGATACTGCAGGTCCAAGGACCACACTTTAGGAACTGCTGGCCTGCGGGGAGGCTGGAAGAGGCAATCAGTCATCTCAGCTCAGGTGCTGCCGTACACTCAGCCTTGGTGTATATGCTCAGATGAGGCATGGAGACCACGAGGGGACGAGAGCAGCAAGGGGCTTTTCGTTTCCTCATTATGATGTGCAATAAGTAGAGTGCAGGAATTTTTTCTATAGCTTCCTAAGTCTGGGGAAAACAAACACTTTTCCTTGTGTCCAAGATGTCCTCTTGTTCTTTAAGACTGAAAGAGAACAAATATACTAACTTTTGTCTACACCAGGCTCTTTAAAGAACAATGTCTCCATTATATCCCAACATTTAGATTACTGTTCCCATAAGGAAACTGAGGCCTGGAAGATTAAGTGCTGGGACACAACTCCCCTACTCCCAGTTTTTATATCCCCATTAGTGAAAGGGAAAATAGGGCCTAGAACTGATAGTGCTGCTGCCAATACTCTCCCTGCCCCTGTCTGCTCCTCAGCACCCACAGCGTCACTACCACCCATCTGGAAACTATCCATACTATTCTCCTGTGTCCTTTATCCCTACCCTGTCAGGGACCTCCATGAGCACAGGCCCTCAGCTCCTCCTTATATAGCTCTGAAAGCCCCCATAAGAATGTCATCTCCCACCCCACTTATCTTCTGGAACTCATGAACAGTCATCAGCAAAATTCCTGAAATATGCAACCTCTTCTCTGCAAATACCTCTCCCTTGCTTGCTCTAACTCAGATCAGGATATTCTATGAAGGGACACTGCTTTCTGTGCAGCCCTTTCAAGAGGGAGCTGTAACCTCTCAAACTTTAGTGCCACTGGGTCTGAAGGGTGTGTGTCTCCTTTAATCTTCATTGTTGTTTTCCCAGACTACTGTTTTATTTTCCCCCTAAGACAGCCCCCTCTCTCCCAGCTTCATGTCTGATGTCATCTGACTGTAACTCCACTACCTTTTCTCATGCAACCATGTACTGTTACTCTCATCCCAACAAAGGGTGACACCCCATTCTCTGAATATGTTAGCTATCAACTCAAGATCAGTCTCTGTGATGCTCCTCCTCCTCTTCCTCCTCTTGGTGGTTTCAATATCCATAACTGTGGCTTTCTAACCCCACCAATTCCAGTCCCTGAAGCTCTTCCCCACTAATGATCTTCTCTTAAATTCTACCTCAGCCATTTAACCCATGATCCAATTACCTTCCAGTCACCAATTCATTTCTCTGCTTCTCTTCATAGCATGACTTTTTGAAACAACTGTCTACAAGCACTATCTCCATGTTTTCTCCCCATTCTTTTGAGCCCACTTCAATTGGGACCCACCCAAGTTGGTCTTGTTGAGGTGTGATGGTCTTTGATGTGTCAACTTGGTTAGGAAATTTCATTAAATCAAACCGTAATTT